ATTTTTTAAACTAGAATTTTCCCCGGTGGTGACGTCAAGTGTCGTTTGGACAACTCTGCCACTTTTCCACCGACTTTCTTTCGTTCCCTAACCTCCGTCTTTGATGTATTCTGAGAACGCCTGGTCTTATTCATTCTATAGGTGTTCTAGTTGCCATAGGGATCGTCTCAAAATGAGTTGAATGGGCGTTAGGAGGCTAGTGAATCCAAATTTGCGTTGCCCTGCAAACGGCTACCTTATCTCATCTTTCTGTATGCAAGGAGTCAGTGAAAGTATATTGCATCATATGATTGTGGAAAAAAAAACAATTATCAGTCTCCTTTTCATCTTAAGCCAACTAGCTTGATTAAATATTTATTTAAGTATCAGTGATAGTCTCAAAAATTATTAAAATGCTTTTCAATTTCCCACTCCTCCAACACAGATACCCCACATCTCGACTGAGTCGATTATTCAATGGCAGTTTGCCCATCGTCCTGGATGCCATGAAGCAATACTACTTTATCGATAGAGATGGCCATCTCTTTCGGCATGTACTCAACTACCTGCGCACGGGACGCGTCTGTCTGCCGGCTCGGTTCGAAGAACTGGACCAGCTGATCGAGGAGGCTCGATTCTACCAGTTGGACGGGATGACGCGTCAGCTGGAGGGGCTACTGTACCAACGGGCCAGACCCACTGCCACTCTTCATCCTCCTCCTCCTCCTCCTCCTTTTCCTCTTCCTCTACCTCTTCCTCTTTCTTCGTCTTCCTCGTCTTCTTCTGTTTCCTTTCCTCCTCTCCCGCCTGCCCGTCCGTCGAGGCCGTCATGCGAAGAGGATTCGGCCTCGGAGGGGGCACCTCGAGGAGGACATGGGCTGCGTCAGTCCATGTCCAATCGGACAAACTCGAGGCCTGTTCGGTTCGAGAGCAGAGTCGGCAAGACGGTCGAGGGGTCGGATGAGACGGCGGATGGTATGGCCGAGTGGGGCGAAGAGGAGGGCTCCAAGTTGGCCGGCCAGAGGCGAGCAGCTCGACAGCTGATGCGCGATGAATGCGTCCACATGAAGAGAGGCGGCGCTCGAAAGCGTAGGCTTCTACAATCGGGCTGGTCGCAGAGTGGCGAAGAGGTGGAGGCAAAGAAGACAGGACCCGTTGACAAGGCACTACCGAACGGAAAGGGACGAGTGCAGAAAACCGGAGAGAAGAGTGTTGCTGTACTGTACATGTCCAGTGGGCAGGCTCTTTCAACGGAGGATGGCGTGGCGCTCAAACGAGAGGAAGATGCGGGCGAAGGGGAAGACGAAGAAGAGGAGGCAGAAGAGGAGAGAGGCGAGATAGGCGAAGATGAGCTTCAGGCTGGCCTTCGTGACTGGGACCTGGTGGCCTTCGTGGCGGACGTCGGCAACTGTCGAGGGCCGAGAAGAGCCCGTCTGGTCTGCTCGACTCGGAAACTGGCCGACTGGCTTGAACCCCGTTTGGGCCTGGTCTTGAGTCCATGCGGGGCCGGAGCGGGTGGAATGAAAGAAGATACAGAAGACGAGAAGGAGCAGGAGGAGGAGGAAGGAGCGAGGTCGTCTCCGGTTGCCGAGGCGCCGTGTCGGTTGAACCGCCTCACGATGGCGGCCGGTGACGCGACTGGCGCTCTTCGTCTCGAGGCGATGAGTCCGGAGAGGATGATCGTTCTGTTGCGTGGGCTCTACCGGCTCGGTTTCCGACTCTTGCCGATGCCGGTGACTGAGATTTGGCCGGCCGAGAGAAGCCGATGCTCGGGTCCGGCGCCGACAGGTTTCGATGGGAGCGCAGGTGGAGCCGCTCTGGACCGGACTCGACTGTTGACCGTGTCGGCTGACGCGAACTGCGACTCCGATAGGACGCAGGCTCGAGCCCAGGAGGCTGGAGAGGCGGAGGTCGAGGTGTCCGGACGAGGCAGTCTTCATTTTGTGATGGCACGGCGCGTCTGCCCGATCGGTGGGAGGCTGTCCAACTGTCGAGGAAAGTCGCGTCGCACGACAACAGGCCCGCGAATGGGACTTCTGCTCGAGTCCCGAACACACCGGTCCCCGTCGAAGGTGTGCCGGACAGACGTCGGCCAGCCCAATTCCTTTGTGGAGCATCGTTAGCCTCTCTCGCTCTCTCACTTCAGCAGCTGCATTGACACCAGTCCTGGTGGGGATTTGGTACCGGTGGTCTCTGGAAGACGCTATGTGTATCCTCAACTCAGGCACATAGGCACACACGCACGTGGCAATACGAATAGTCACCGCGGGCTTGTCAGCAATAAAAATATTGGCTCGTGTTATTTCCTTTACATACGAAAAGGTTTAGAGGCTATCGGGAATTCTCGAACAAGATTTCGGTCATCCCAAGTGGTTTAAGGTGCTCCAAAAACGGATGTTGCAATTCTCTCTAGATGATGAAGGACTGGCAGTTGCAATTTTTCAAAATAATACGAGTAGGTCTCACAATGACTGTACATTTCACTTAGCCTCGACTACCAAAAGGCATTTTCATTATGGCTGAACAAGGCTGCATTTTGTTGGTATATGCTAACAAGTAGGGATTGTATTCAACGAGAAGCTCCAATTTGTTGGTACCGATTTGATAAATATAAAAATGAAGAAAACAACATTCCCAATGGGGGTGTTGATAAGATCTACGCGAGGTCGAAACTGCAGCCCACACTGGATGATAACGACTTTTGGGAAGGCAAGGCTATGTGAAATTCAAAGAAATCGTCAGATCTACTCATAGCATTGTGGGAAAATTCTACTACCAATCCTTCATCACCTTAAACGAAATAGGGTGAATACATCTCATATTACTGATTTACTGGTAGTCTCGAAACTTGACTTACATACGAATAATAAAACTATGCTAGGCATTTAGATAGGTTATTTTATCTCATCGTATTGACAACACCATTCTTGTTCAAGTGGCTTTTACTCATGGTTGTTGTCGTAGTGACAAATGCTTTTTGCTTGACCGTGAGGATTGGAACTGTCGC